GCGACGCTCCGCCGCTGCCGCCGCGGCCCGGCGGCTCCGAGGGGCGGAGATCCCAGCGCCGCGGAGGAAACCCGGGACGGATCTGGAGCGGACTCCAGCCCAGCCGGGGACTCGCGGAGCGGGGAGACCAGGGGCAGTGTGGCCGCGGCAGCTGGTGCCGGGGGTGGCAGTGCAGAGTGCCCACCAGACCCCGCCTCAGGTCCGCCTGAGGAACGGGCCAGGGGGCGTCGGGTGACTTGGGTTTGCGCGGAGAGTTGGTTTCTGACTTAGTGGTCACCCCGCCCCACAGCATCTCTATGTGGGTCCAGGAGTCCCCAAGGGCCCCAAAGTCGCGCTCCTCCAGGGGCCACCCTCTCTACAGAAAGGCTGCAAAGGGATCCAAAAAAAGCTGAAAAGCCCTGAAACAAGAGATCTGAAGAGGCAGAAGTTGTGAGGCTGGTCAGAGCTGAGCAGGGCCAAGACTTCTGGATCCTCAGCACTGTGGGGTGGCGGTGGGGAGCAGCCCTGTCCCACTAGGTGCACAGGGCCCTAGCAGACCCTGTTCCCATCTCTTCTCTCCCTGGCTCAGGCCTAGGCCCTCTTAGGGCAGCACCATAAAGACTTCCAGGTGCACCATGGAAACTAGACCAAGCGCACCTGGGTGGGTGGGAAGAAGCGTGGGAGGAAATATGAAGCATGGACCTGTGCTTCCAGGAGCTAGTGCAGCCTGAGCCCTTGACTCATAACTTGAGGACCCCCGCTCCTAACTCCTGAGAGGCTCAGTATCTCATCTATAAAGTGAAATTAGCATGTCTGCAGTTCCATCCTAGAAGGAGCCAGGAAAGTGAAGGACAAGACCCTCCTCCGTGCAAAAATGTGGGGGATTGGAAGAATCCCAAGGCCTGCTGAAGGTGTCACCCTCTGCCCGGCCCAGCTCTCAAGCTCCACCCACTCCCCCCAGGCCCAGCTCCCAAGCTCCACCCCCTCTCCCCAGTCCCAGCTCCCAAGCTCCACCCCCTCTTCCCAGGCCCAGCTCTCAAGCTCCACCCCCTCTTCCCAGGCCCAGCTCTCAAGCTCCACCCCCTCTTCCCAGGCCCAGCTCTCAAGCTCCACCCCCTCTTCCCACCAAGGTTTATGGCTCACCCGACTCATTCCATTTTTGTACTTTGCAAGGGGATAACTCCATAACCTGGCGACCTGATTCCATTGGCTATGCTCATGTGATAAGGTGGAGGCTTGTGGTCCTAGAGGCACACACATCCCCATCAAGGGCTAAAGGGATGAGGATGGGGTGGAAATGGAGCTTGCATGGGCCCCAAAGTAACTGATAAGTCATTCAACATAGAACATCCCCCATTTCTGTTTTCTGTACTGGTACCACTTGGTGTGCCACAAAGGTATGGTTAAGATGGCCTTGGGGCTGGACTTGTGGCTCGGTGGCAGAGCGCTTGCCTCCCACTTGTGGGGTAGTGGGTTCGATCCTCAGCACCACATAAAAAAATAAATAAATAAAATGAAGGTATGTGTACATCTACAACTTAAATTACAAAAAAAAAAAAAAAAAAAAGATGGCCTATGCCCATTGCAGAAAAGCATTATAAAAGTTAAGTTTCCAGGAAAAAGGGCACTAGTGGCAACAGGGGGAGACCAATCACACTCTAATCTCACCCATTTCATCGGGAGCCTCACCCTTGGCCACCTGGATTGGTGTAACACTCACCCATTTCTGGTCTCCACAGATGATCAGAACTGAAAGTTTTCCAAAGTTCCAACTCCTCCTTATGTCCAAACCACGGAGAAGCAAGGTGTCACCATAAGTCCCACCTCCAGGCTACTCACAAGGCCAATCGACTGGTTCCAGTCTCCATTCTGAGACTTCCAGGGTAGATTCTGGCATCTAGATCTCCCTGGAGGATGAGGAAGCGTGAAGGGTTAAAAGATGACTTTACTCCTGGATGTCCCTGCCAGACAGAGAAAACCAGTGGTTTTGAGCATCCTTAAGTGTTCAGAGGATGCAGCCAAATGGCTGCTGCATTTTGTGGATTGGCCACAGAGGAGTGTGGGATGGGAACAGGATCTGGCTGGGGAGATGAGGGTAGGTGTGAGTATTTAGGCACTTTACAGGGGAAAGTAAATTCTGAGAGGTTCGCCCACTTGGGCCAGATGCCTGCCCTATCTGAAATGTCCCCCAAAGGCATTGCTGAAGGTCGTCCCTCTGTCCGGCCCAGCTCTCAAGCTCCACCCCCTCTCCCCAGGCTCAGCTCTCAAGCTCCACCCCCTCTCCCCAGGCTCAGCTCTCAAGCTCCACCCCCTCTCCCCAGGCCCAGCTCTCAAGCTCCACCCCCTCTCCCCAGGCCCAGCTCTCAAGCTCCACCCCCTCTCCCCAGGCCCAGCTCTCAAGCTCCACCCCCCTCTCCCCAGGCCCAGCTCCTAAGCTCCACCCCCTTGGTCTCTAGCCTGGGGTGCTACTGGGAGATGGTAGAACCTTTAGAAGGCGGAGCCCATTGGAAAGAAGTTATGTCATTAGGAACACACCTTTGAAGGGGGATATGGGGACCCCATTTTCTTCCTCTTTTTCTTTGCTTCCAGTCACCATAGGAGAGCATGTGCTCCTGCCATGTTATAAGGTGCTGCCACAGACCCAAAGCAACAGGGCCAAGCAACCATAGAGAGAAAGCTTTGAAACTGTGAGCACAAACAAACCTTTCCTCTTTTTAAGTTGTCTATCTTGGGTATTTTGTTACAGCCATGGAAATCTGACGAGCACAATCCTGAAGCTGGTAAGGGACATGATCAGGTCCTCTGACTGCGTATTCAGATCTCACTGCCTTCTCACCCATTAAAGGTCCCATGGGACAAGCGATGGGAAAGTACTTTGAAACCATCAAGTGAGCATTGGTGCTATTAATACTGGAAATGTCCTTTGGCTTCTCTGGGTTTTGTAAATGCTCTTTGCTCTTTACCGTTGGGTCCTGCATGTGGATTTTACCCTTGGTGCTGGTTTATTTCAGTCTTTTATTTGGGAGAGCTAATGGTTTGTCCCCTTTCTTGACCAGATGTGCTTTATCATCAGTAGATGGAACCGTTGATCCCTGTCACCTCCCTGCTCCTCTTCTCTTTCTTTTTTTTTTTTTTTTTTTTTTTTTTTTTTTTTAAAGAGAGAGTGAGAGAGGAGAGAGAGAGAGAGAGAGAGAGAGAATTTTTAATATTTATTTTTTAGTTCTCGGTGGACACAACATCTTTATTTGTATGTGGTGCTGAGGATCGAACCCGGGCCTCACGCATGCCAGGCGAGCGCGCTACTGCCTGAGCCACATTCCCAGCCCCTCCTCTTCTCTTTCTCTCTCTCTCTCCCCCTTTCTCTCCACCCCTCCCCAAGACTGAGGGTCAAACCCAGGGCCTCATGCATGCTAGGTGAATGCTCCCATCACGGAGCTGCACCCCCAGCCCCAGCCCTGTCATTTGAATTTGCCCTGCCTCTGTACATGCCCTCTTCATCCCCACTTTGACTCCCATTGTCCCCTCCCTCCATTAAACCATCTTGAATCGTTCTCCCCAGTCTCCTGAAGACCCCTGCATCCTGAGATTCTGGGGACCAGGGTTTTCTTCTCCAGATATTTGGTTCTCCTTCCACTCTCTGTGACAAGTGATTCCTCTGGCTGGGCTATTCCCCCGCCCATGAGTTAAATCCTGACCTCCCAGGCTGTCTTCAGCTCTCCACGGCACATGCGCACTTAGAAAAAATAACAAAATAAAAAGAGAGGATGCTTTACAGGAACTGAGCCAGGCAGTTCATCTCCTTAAGATCTTCACATGCATTTGATTTTGCAGGTAACACAGGGGACCAAAGTTCAAAGGGTTAACACAGGGGACCAAAGTTCAAAGGGTTAACACAGGGGACCAAAGTTCAAAGGTTTAAATAGCTGGCCCCAAGACAGAGCTGGTGGGCGAGTGGCTAGAAGTCTGACTCAGAATTATAGCACTTAAAGGGATCATCCAGATCAGCCCAGAAAGCAGGGTGTCACAGATGCTACTCACCGGCCCGTGAGTCATGGGGACACAGTTTCTTTCCTTAGCTATAAAGAGGACGAGGCACCTAACTTCCAGTAAGGACTGAATAAGATATGTATGTGAAGTGCTTGGTGTAGTGTTTCTGGCACAGAAATTCAGTTAATGGTAGGAATTATCATCCAGCCAACTGGAGCTGTAATTCTCCAGGGGGATACCTTGCAGCTTGTGCTTTGGAAGAGTAGAGGCCTCTCTCTTCTTTATTCTGCAGTCAGGACTCAGGAGTGAGGATCACCTCCACATGGTTCCTGGGTTGGTCTGCCTGACCGGCAGCATCAGGCAGATGGGATTCTAGATTGAAAGGCTGCCATTTCGTATTGGCCTCTGACTTGGTTTGCATGTGGCTTGTCTCCTGAAGGTTCCTGTGTGGGAAGCGTGGTCCCCAGTGTGTTCCTCTAGAGCAGCTAGGCTTTTTAAGAGGTGGGGCCTCATGGAAGGTCATTAGGTCATTGGCTCTTCATGAATGGGCTAATGCTGTCTCAAGGGAGTAGGTTGTTCTCCTGGGTCTGCTTTAGAACCCTGGAGAATGAGGAGTTAAGTATCCCCAACACCTCCCCTGAATTTTCTGCACATGTTCCCACCATCGTAATGCTATTCTCCATGTGACCCTCACCAGCGTGGATAAGTTGTTGGCACCATGATCTTAACCCTCCAGAACTATGAGCTAAATAAACCTTTTTTTCTTTACAAAGTAGCCTGCCTCCTATATTTTGTCATAGCAACACAAAATAAGACAGCATCCCTCTCTGTCTCTGACTGTGTGTCTCTTTCTATCTCTGCCTCTCTGTCTCTGTCCATTTGGCTCTGGGGGGGAACCATCTTCTTTGTCTTGAGAAACAGCCTGTGG